CACTCTGGCAAAGCTGATTTTACACTGGAGCAGTGACAAAGTGCCCAGGTCCTGCAGCAGACACAACCTCAGCACATGGCAACAGTGCTCTGAGAGTTGCAGGTGCCACTCGGACAGGCTCTGCCAGCCAAAAGATCTCAGAAAGGGGGACAGGATACAAGAACTGCCATGCCACCCACAGAACAAAGGAATGCTCCTGACTTTAGTTTTAGTACATGTACTACTGTTCAGTGCCAGCATGAGCACGGACCAGCCATCAGCCAGAAAATCAGGAATGCCACGTCATTTTGGAGCTTAGATGCATTTCACAGCTTACACCAGCAGTAAAGAGGAATGTAAATCAGTCTTTCCTTTGCCTGACTGGCAAGTTAGATAAGCAAAGCAAGTAACTGGTCAGAAGTAACTAAAAAAAAACAATTCAAAAAGACAGCTTTATGGACACAGGTGGCCCCTAACAGTAGCATTCCCTCTGCCTTTCAGGCCATATGGATAGGCAAGAACTGCTTTTCTAGACTGGTAAGCACCAGGGATATCTGCACTGCTTTCTGGAATAAACAGAAGCAGTAAAGATGCTTCAGTGTAAAGTTTAAATACTGGACCAGAGTGGCCCATCACAAAATTACACATCCAAAGAACAGCACTTCAAGAGCTCTGTGCTTAGGCAAAACAAGGGTGCTGATGCAACAGCCAGGACTGTACTCATGGAGCTGCTAAGCAATGATTCCATGCACTTGACAATTTACTGACAAGGGAATTCTCACAGCTGGCATTCCCCAGAATTACTTCAGTGGAGCCTGCTCACCCTCTCAGGCTCTGAACATTCATCGTAAAAAATCCAAAGCATTTCTAGAGAAAGTGGTACAAAGACAAATCTCCACAGCTGCACACTCATGTGCTCTGACAGCATCCACAACCCTGTGTCAATATTTGACATCTTTCCCAGAGCATCAAAATGAATTTTCAACGGGCTCCCCTCCTTCTAAACATCAAGTGTATCAGAGATGTAAATGTTGATCATGTACCTCAGTTTTATGAAACAACTGTGCACCAGCACAGCCGGAGATGATCCCCAGAAGGAAAGTCTGACACAGATCCTTTGATTCCCTTCTCCCACTGTGCTGCACTGCAACCTCCACTCCCAGCATAACAGTTAAACTGATGAAGCCAGTAGAAAAATATTTTTAAAAAGTAATCACTATAATCTTGAAGGAATCTCTTATGACAGGAGCCTAGAAATCCTCAAGAATCTGAAAAAGAAAGTTGTGCATCAAACCAGGCAGCCAAAAATAATAGTAACTCCAAGCAGCATTCATCACCGTGATCAAAGCTGTTTGACAGCAGCAGGCATACACTGTCAGCATAAAAGAGAGCATCATCTCTTTTAAACACCTTTCACAATGATACAGAGCTAAGAAAACAATCCTTCTCAAAGAAACGCTGCAGGAGCCATTTGGGAACTGTAACAGGAAAATTGCAAATAGGTGCCTGCAGGAGTACACATTTCCTAGTGCCAGGCAAACAGGAGATGCCTCAGCATGTTGCTTCTTCCACTCAACACCTACAGGCTCTCTTAGCTGTAGGTCTACACATACAGTGAAAAAACATCTGTTCTTCTAGGAGAAAACACATGACTGTGCATAAAACAAAGCAAAACCATTTCACTTTCAGTTCTACCTTAGGAGGAATAGGTTGATGTTGAAACACAGGAAGAGCTTACAAAGCCAAAATACAGCAACTGCTGATCTAAGGGGATTTGTTTCACATGGCTGTCAATCCAAAAATGTTACAGCAATTACACTAAACAACCAGAAGCTACACTTATCAAGGAACATATGTGTCCTTTAAAGATGAAGGAAATAGTCCAAAATATTTGAGAGACCTGGGTATTAATAGCCCATTCTATAAAGAGCAGTAAGAGCACTAGAAACTGGCCAAAGGTCACAGTGACAGGATTTTACCAGGAAATAGGGCAGGTTTGCAGACATTTAAACAAGAATCCAACATCCGCGTGTGCCATGACTGCACACGCAGCCCAGCTCCCCTGCTGATACTTCAGTGAAGCTGAAGAAAAGCTCTGAGAGTTTAAAGGAAAGTGGGGAGCAAGCTGCTGAGGTAGGAGGAGTTTAAAGCCACAATGACACTGTCCTCTGGTGGGAGAAAGAGCAGAATTGCCATAATGCAGGAAGGGCTACAGCCCTTTCCTCATGTTTGCCAGCAAGGGCAGTCCAGCCACAGCCCACCAGAACCAAGCAGTGCCACGGTGGTGCAAAGAGACAGGGAAAGCAGCAGACTGGATCAAGAGCAGAAGTCACCAGGTGCCCAAGGCAGTGCTAACAAGGCTCCCAGCTACTCAAGGGGAGGGGGCTGAAGGATTCTTGGAGCAGCTGTTGCCAAGAAGGGAGTGAAAGTGACACAGCCCTATGCTCTACACTGAGCACAGTGTAGAGCTTTCCTCCTGAAAGCACTCAGGAGGCAATCCCTGCCATCTCACCCAGGTGCAAGGAGGTGCCTAATCTACACCACTGGCAGCTCCAGAGAGTCCTGTTCTCTTCCCAGTATAGAGGAGCTAACAGCAGGATGTCAGGACATGGTTCACTACAGACACCTGGTACAAATCAAGGCAATCACAGAAGCTTAACAGTCTGCTACCAAACCTAAAGAATGACACTGGACACTGTGTGACTCAACATTTCCTTCTATATTTTATCCCTCCTTTCCCTATATCCTTCTTATCTTGTCTGGGTAAAAAAAATCAGACTTGTAAAATACCTGAGGAAGGGACCCTCCATGCACATACCATAATCATAACTGATAAGCTTTAGTTAAAGCTAAACTCAGCACCCTGCAACCTCTTCCAACCCCAAGCAAAGCCATCCAAAACTAAAAGGGGCTCAGACCTCCAAGACTATTGCATCTTTGGCTAAGCCACGAGCTCCACTCACTAATCAGAAATACTTTCATGTACTTGGCTTTGCGCAGTACACAGATATGCAGGTAATTCCAGCCCCCAAAGCTCTGTAATCTGACACAGATAAAAAGCCATAGCAGGCCAAGAAAAAAAAGGAGAAGGCAGCTCCTTGAGAAAAAAAACAACCCAAAATTGATAGTAAATTCTGCTCTTTCACTCATCCGGGAACTGCTAAGCAGAGAAAATGAAACCTGCCCATCTGCACACAATTCCCCTCAGCAGAGAAACCACAGATCAGGCTGGCTCTTTCCTGCTGGGGAGTTCATACCCACAGGCCAAAGGAGCTGCCTTATCAAGGAACCAGCATCTCAAGGCTGTTCTTCAACAGTCACACCAGCACTCCTTGCACCAGGCACAAAACCTGTTCAGAGTTATTGGAGACTCCCCCAGAGTTACTGGAGTCCCTTCTCCCCCATCCAATGACTTCCAAGCACCAGGCTGCCCCAGGAAGGTCTCCAAAGGTGACAGTCACTAGATTTATGTGTCTGCCTGCTTCCACTCTAAACATTTTCATTCTATTACAGAAAAAAAAAAAAAAAAAAACCAAAAAAAAACCAGCCCTGTTTGATCTGTCAGCTCCTCAGACTCCTGCTGAGTGTGGATGACTCCTGTCATCCTGTTACAGAGGAAAAACACAATATAGGGAAACATGGCATAAATTCCCTAATTATATATCACAGTTCCTACTGGTTTAGGATCTAACAGAAATAAAAAGCAACACTGAGCACCTTTGCAAGGCAAACATTACCCAGAGCTGTAGTGTGCTGGTTCTGGGTTCAGGCATGCCCAAATCCCAGGAGCACAGGCTCCAGGTTGGCACAGGCAGCCCTGGTGGAGCATTGTACACGGCTCTACTGCCTGAGCACAGTGAGAAACTGAGCTGAACTCACAGCCTCAGCTGGCCTAATGTGGTTTTAAGAAATTGGGAGGGCAGGAACCCAACAAAACCACCTGATCAAAAATCAGTTGCATTTTTTCTTCTTAAATTCAGCAAATGTCACCAGATGCAAAGAAGGTGCTGACAAATCAGACGGGGAGGTTTGTCACACCAGCCTTTCTTGGTGCAGGGCAGTCTATCCACAGGTTTACAATCACCTGTGCACATGCACAATGGAAGTGCTTCACCTCAGCAGGTCCCTAAGCCCTACCAGTAACCTCTAATGAAAGACAAAAGAGCTAGAAAGGAAGACAAGAAAATGGGAAGAGACATGTTGCAGAAATCCAAGGGAATAACCAGGGTACTAGAATGCTACTTTTTATACAATGCAATCCCTCCATGTTTTTGTGTAACACCAGTGGCACAGAAGAAATCTCCAAAAATGGGTGTTGCAAAGTTATCCTAAAGACACTGAACAGCACTAAAGTCATGTAAACAGATTGCAAAGGAGAGGAAAAAAGCCCACACAGAAACCCCCTTCTTTTTAAATAACACCTTTTAAGATGTTATGCTTCCACAGGCAGGTGAAAACAGTTTCAGTCTGATTAGTGACAAGAAGTTATAACAGAACAAAAACCACTCTTCCCCACAGGTGGACTTTTGCAAAAAGTCCTTCACCAAAAAAAAACAAATCAAAACAAAAACTTCAAAAACAATTTCCTGTCGGGGAACCACTTTGCTCTTTCCTCCACCAAACACTTTAACCATTTTGAACAGATAACAAGTATCCCATGACAAGATTGTGCCCTAGATACTCCAAGAGACATAAAGAAAAGTTCACCGTTTCTGAAATAAACACTAACTTCCTCAATGAAGACCTTAGTGATTTAAATAACTCTGAGGTGCTATACCTTTCTTTTAAATTATTATTAAAGCTACAAAATATTATCGTTTAAAAGAAGACAAGAACACCCTCCCTGTGCCAAACGCACCAGTTTCAGAGCCAGCGTCACTTCAAGGTACAGAGACCATCACCAGAGCATGTGACTTACAGCAATACTCTTCTGAGGAAGAAGAGAATTCTTCTCTTACGCTCACTCTGTTCCCTCCCACTTCACACACACGACGCAGTCTCTGGCTCCAGCCCTCAGTCACCCTGAATCCAACACGTCCGTGTGTCACCGGGAATGTGAGGGGAAACAAAGGGCCAGCCGAAGGCTCACCACGTCAACAGGCAGCCACAGACAGCTTCAGCTTCGGCGAAGGCAAGGAGGCAGAGAGAAAGGCTCTGCTGAGCTGAACTGACTCATCTGTACAAATCACCTGCTCTTTCTAAACCTGCTCTTTCTTCCTCTTCAAGGATTTAGAAATCCTTGCCTTGCCTTCCCGCTGGAGCTGCCACTCCCACATGCCTCCGCTGCTGCGAGGCTCAGGGGTCCCTCCACAGCATTAACTCTTTCCACTGCCCGGCCAACACCGCTCGTGTCCGACAGCTCTCACCAGAAACTGAGGGCGAGATGCTGCACTTCACCACTCAGCCCAAAGGCAGAGAGAACTTTCCGTGGTTTTAGGAAATACCGCCTGAGCGGGAGGGAGGCCGGTCCGCGACAGAAGCGGGGACGAGGGGAGGCGCGGAGCGGCCGGATCCCGCGGGAAACGGAGCAAAGGAAGAAACAACCGCACCGCTGAAACGCAAGGCCGGATTGGGCGGGCAGAAAGGAACCGGGAGATCGGCGGGGAGGCAGAGGAGCTTCCAGCAGCCGGAAGAAAAAGCAGAACGCGCACACGGACCCCCGCAGGGTCACTTCACCCCCCGGCTTAGGGGGCTGGAGCTGCAGCCGGCTCCTCCGGCCTCGGCGCTGACGCCCCGCGGGCCAGGAGCCAGCGGGCCCGACACTCGCCCCAGCCCCGCCGCGGCCACCGGCGCTTCCCGGGCGGGGCCGCGCAGCCCCGAGTCTCGGAGCGCGGCCGGAACATGCACAGCCCGCCAGCTCCCCTCCCGACGCGGTGTGGCCGCCGAACCGCTCCAGCGGCTGGGGAAGCCACACGCAACACTCACCGTGACCCGGACCGGGCTGCAGGGCTGGTCGTGCTCCTCTCGGTATTTGAGCGCCAGCCGGGCCGGGCCGGCCCCGCCCCGCGGGCGGGCGAGCGGGAGGGCGGGAAGGCGCGGCGCGCGGCACGCGCCCGCTGCGGGCCCGGCCCAACGGCCGCGCGGCTGAGGGCGTGAGGGCCGGGAAGGGCCGGGAGCCGGGCACCGCCGCAGTTCCCCCGACCGCGATCCTCCTTCTGGATCTTTGACGGGTCTCCGACCTGGTGCTGCTTGGCCAAAGGCTCCTCATAGCCCATCTAGAGCCACTTCTCTCCCCCCGCCATATAAATGCAGTTTTATGGGCTTAAAATCACAGAACCTCAGAACCAGTTAGGTTGGAAAAGACCTCTGAGATCGTCGGCTCCAACCTGTGGCCAAGCACCACCTTGCCAACCAGACCATGGAGTGCCACATCCAGTCTTCCTCAAACACCTCCAGGGACAGTGAGTCCACCACCTCCCTGAGCAGCCCATTCCAATCTAATCACCTTTCTGTGAAAAAAATTATTCCCTGTGTCCAACCCGAACCTCCCCTGGTGCAGTTTAGAACTCTGTGCTCTCATCCTGTCACTTGCTGCTCGGGAGAAGAGGCCAGGCCTCACCTTGCTACAGCCTCCTTTCAAGTCTAGTAATACAGTCCTACTTCAACAAATTACTGCTTAATACAGCTTTACACTTCAATGTAGCTCTGTTTAGAGCAATGCTTCGCTGGTATTCAGTACAGGTGTCCTTCCTGACACATTTTCCTTCCTAACATGCCCAGTCACAGTGCCAGTGCCACGCTCAGCCTTTGGATGGCCCACAGGGTGCCTGACCTTAGGGTGCTTTTTAAAGCTTTTTAAAGTCTGGGATTCTACAAAACAGACTGAGCCAATTCTGAGTCAGGTTTGAGTCATTTTGGCTTCCCGCTGGGAATGGCGTTGGGTAAAAAAATGTCACGCAAATACGTAAATTTCAAGGAACTGAAGAGAAGTTTCTGTTTCCTCAAATAGTTTAGCTTTGTCCTGCAAAGTCAGCACTGCCCCAAGCAGCACTGTCCCCCTCTCTCCCTTCTGCCCAAAGTGTGTTTCTTTTTTGAGAAACCACTGTGGGCGTTTTTATATCCTTTTATTTCTGGTATCTGAGTAATACGGATTACATATTTATATAGAACATGTGAACAAAAAAAAAAGGAGATGTTATCTCTTGCTTACAGAAAACCATGTGATTTCTGTACCTGAGACATGCAGAAAAGCACCACACACTCAGCAGGTTAGGAAATACTAGTTTATCCACTTTCCTGATATCCACAGGCATTCACACTGTTCCCAAGGTGCCAAGGCAAAATAGCACTTTTTCCAGAACTGCTTTCTGGAGCAGGGGGGTTTTTGTTCCTTATTTTGAGTGCTCGTAAAAAGATGCAGGCTAAGGAAGGAGGCAACTCTTCAGCATATCCCTCAAGTAATATTTATAAAATGAAGTATTCATTTGCCTTCTTCCCTGTGGCTCCAGGACATGCAGCCACATGCCAGCACTGTTGCTTTCAACCACTACAGGGTCATTTTTCTGGTAACTGCTCCATTGCTGCTGATGCTTAGGATTTAAAGCAGGAAGATACACTCAGAATCTGCTGGAATTCTTAAGAGATGTGTGACCAGGTAGAATCCTTACAGGATTAGGTTTGCATTCTCCAATACGTGTGTGACTTAAAAATGCAGCTGCTGATGTGGACAGCAATTTCTAATTGGTGAGGACTTTTCAAAAAAACCCTATAAAAACATGAGGGAAGCCAGAATGGCAGGGGGTTGGAGGCATGACTTTCCCTAAGTTATTTCTCCTGACAAGTTACATTCATTGTCTTTAGCCAGGCCGAGTGCAGCCAGGAGGGCTGTATAAGATAAAATATATCTGCTGCTGCCAGAAAGAGGCTCTGCACACTTGTTAATGACCCCACGGAGCCGAGGGAACATTCCTCCCACCTCGGTGACTCCCGTGCTGCTCCTCACCTCTGCACGGAAGGGGTTGTGGTTCTGTGCCAAGGGGAACACGCAGCTTCGTGGGCATGGAATGCCACCTGTGGAAAGGCTTCTGAAGGCTGCTTTCATTATCAAGGGAAAAGGAAAGCAGCAGCTGCCACCAGGCTGAGCTCCTGGATGGGGTTTACTTGTTAGAGGGTCTGGTGCAATTTTGCAGCTAATCTGTGCAGGAGCACTAATCTTGAAGGGCTGCCGTAGGTTTTGGCCAGGCTAGCAACAGATAAAGCTCTTCCTAGACCCGTTGTTCCATCCAGTCTGTAAAACAGCAGAATGTCTTTGTTCCTAATTGGGATTGAGGACTAACAAATTTGCAATGTAACTTAAAAAAGCCATGATGGAAGAGTACGGATGTGAGCCAACCTCCTGTGTCCCAGAGTCCAGCAGTCACTTTCCAGATGTTCCATTTTTCTTCTGGCATCAAGTGAGAAATCCTCATGGACTGGTCTTTTGACAGCAGAAAAATCCCCCATCCCTGGGAAAACAGCTTTCTCCTACTACTATTTTTATTCCCACTACTATGGGGGAGCAAGAGACCAAAAGAACAGGAAGAATTGTAAGGTTGGAAACGTACTCAAGGAGCTGCTGCCCTGCTGAGCTGCACAAATGAGGCATCGAGAGCTGTCATTCCTGCCACCTGCAGCACAGCCTGCTCACCCGGTCTCCAGGAAGGGGAAATCCGAGGCGTGTCTCCCTCCTGCTGAAGTAATAGGTTTCCTTTTATCACACCACCATAGGAACACCAGGGTTTATCCTTTGTTTTTGAAAATGGTTGAGTGGGCAAGAAAACAAAACACATGGTTTGGGAATTCCCCGGCTAGGATTTCCCCTATCATCCTGTGTAAAACTTCTGCTTCTTAAAAAAAAAAAAAAAAAGAAAAAAAAAAAAAAAGAAAAGAAAAGTAAGCACAGAGACATAAAGGATTAATTTAATTCTCCCTATATTTTACTCAATGCTGCTACACCAGCATAAGATGTTCAGGCTAGTACTGCAGGCTGAGGAAGTGAGCTTCAGCTACCAAAATGAAATCCTAGTTTCTGCAACCCAATTTATATTATCTTCATCCCTTCTTGGCTATTTATAGTAACTTCATGGAGAATGTGAAAAAACAATGTAGAATATGCACAGGTACTGGGGGTGTTTGTTGATTTCTTTGTATAATTCAGAGTAGCTGAGAGTGAGTCAGCAAAAGAGTAATTGAAGCCAGGCACTTTAACATCCAGATTTATCTCTAGATCACCTCCTCTCAGGTCCTCATCAATCATCAACCAAGGAAGTGACATCAGAGGAAAGAAATGATAGCGCCACCACCAAAAAAGAAAAAATAATTAATGACTTTATTTTTTTTTTTTAGTTCAGTTGGCCATCTGAGGTGCTAAAATCTCAACACCAATGAAGCAAGTGTGCATAAAAACAAATGATAAAACACAACCAAATAGAAGAAAACAGGCTGGAACAGAGTTGATTTTGTACAGGTAGGGTATTCGCTTTTGTGTTAACGCTCCATACATGCCAACCGTAAAAGCCTTGAACAATCTGAATATCAGAGTTCACGTTCACACAAAAGGGCAGATGCCAAAGCAACTCCTTTTGCCTGGATTAGACTTCACACACACACGCATGCACCCACAGATACAGAGTATTTAAATTACTGCAATGCCATCAGAACATGGCATCCTCCCCTTCACACCTGCTTTCAGTGACATCCTCATCTGCCTGCTACCTTGCCTAGTACCTGCCAAGCAGGCACGTACAGGCAGGGTAGCGGGCTTGGACAATCCAAAAGCAGGAACTTTTGGAAAGCTTCCCATCTCTGTTACTTTGCAAAGGTCAACAGCCAGCAATCTCTTTTTCTGTGAACTATATACAGGCTGGTTTTTAGTATGCTTTAGAGTTCTCTTCCTTGCAGACAGTGACAACTGAAATTCCCATTGCAGCTTTTCAGTTTGCACACGGGAGATTTTACAACGCAACACCTCTCTCAATCCAATGGTGTGTGGTGTAAACACTTAATGGAAAACTCATCTTAGAAGAATGTTAACCAAACAAGGTGTAGCTGCTCACAAAAGGGAACTGCCGGCTGCTCTAGATCATGCTGTCTAGACCACTTAGAATACTTCATCACGTTCAGGATTAGGATGTATAAAAATATTAAAACCCACCAGAGTGCACACAAATGTGGTGACTAGCTCTACGCAAGCACCGTGTTCTAACAGAGGCCTAGGCATTGCACAAAACTCAGATTCTTGACCATGGGGGTAGCCCAAGGATCCACTGGTGCCTTTACATACAAACAAATATTTACAGAAAATGCAGAGACAGAGAGAGAAGGACAGACTTTTAAAACTTGCGGTTTGCTCTAAAATATGTTCAGCAATGCAGTTTATAACATGCCCTAGTGAGACCAGGGGGTATTGGTTAACTGAAAGAAAGAATATGTCTGAAAGTTGGAGCTGAAATGTCTTGTCACTTCCCCACACTAATTAGTTCTCTGAAGCTCGGAATTTTACAGCCAGTTGTGACTTTTAATGACAATATGGTTAAAAGGAACAGAACAGTTTAAAAAAAAAATTGGTACTGTGGAAACAGCAGATTAGTTGTTGTGGCAGTCCTCACTCCCCCATCGCCATTTACCTCCTGGGTGTTTCCTTCCAGGAGCTGGTGTTCCCCTCCCTTCCCTGTAGGGGGCTGAAGGGCTTGCCCCATCCTCAGTGTGCCCATTTCAGAACCAACACGGCTCAGGTTCAAGCTCGGCTCTCTTCCCACCTGCTGCCAGGATGAAGTGGCCAGCCCTGGGTCAGGACCGTGTCACCTGGGGACAGCCACCCTGGTGTGCCCAGTCTCGGGAGCTGAGGGTCCCTTGGC